TCCATGAGCGTGTGTGTGTGTGGGGGGGTTTCTTTCTCTCTCTCTCTCTTTCTTTTTTTCCCATTCACTCAGGAAATGCTCGCTGGGCTCGCTGCGAGCCAGGCCCAGAGGAGGCCTCCGCCGGCCGCAGGGGACACTGTGCGGGGCAGCAGAGGAGCAGCCCCGGGGCCGCGGGGGGCGGGAGTCCAGGCCGCAGCGGCCACAGGCACGAAGGCGCTGAGGCAGGCCGTGCTCCGCGCGGCTGGCGGCTGGAGGGACAGCGCGGGCCGAAGGTGCGGCGCAGCGGGCGCCGAGGAGGCCCTGCCCATGGGTGGGCCTGCAGGGGCAGGTTTTGAGTGGGCGGGCAAGGACCCAGCCCGGCTTTCAGCGGGGTCCCTCTGGCCCAGAGCAGACCGGGGCGGGCGGCACGAGCCCATGAGAAGGCCGGGCCGTGTTGCCATGAGAGCGGGCAGCCGCGGGTGACTCGGGGGAGAGGGGGCGGCTGTGATCTGGAGGCGAGGCTGTGGCGGTGGGAGGGGGCGAGGTCCCATGGGTCCCGAGGTCTCTGCCCGCGGCCAGAATCCGAGGGGACCTCCGGTCCTGGTAGCTGCGGTCACCGAGGGGTGGGTGAGTGTGCCCAGGGAGGGAGGCAGCTGGAGGCCGGGCCCCGGGGCCCCGCCAGAGCCAGGGGGCGGGGGGAGCGGGGGCGGACAAGGGCAGCCCGCGGCGGGGGCTCTGCGGGAGGCGGGAGGGGTCCGCTGGGCCACTGGCTGCTGGGGGAGGCTCGGGTCCCGTGAGGGCTGAGAGGGGACCTCCGAGGGCAGGTTGGTGATGTGGCGGGGACAAGAGCCGGTGAGCACCGGTCCTCGGAGGGCGGCAGCGAGGACGCGCACTTCCGTGGAGCAGGGCGGCACCTGGCGGGTCCGCGGAGGGTTTTCCTCGGGACGGGAAAAGTAGCTGGTTGTTCGTAGGCTGGAGAGAATGTTCCAGAAGAGAGAGCGACATGGGTGGCCCGGGTGGAGGGGTAACTCCAATGGGCTGGAGCCGGCCTGGCCCGGGGGCGGAGGGCAGCCCGGTGGCTTCTCGCAGTGACGGGGGTGGGGTGGCGTCGCGCGGATGCTGGCGGGTGGGTAGACCTGGCGAGGGCCTCGTGGGAAGGTCTGTTCTGGTGGCCGAAGCGGAAGCGGAAGCGAGGGCGGCAGCTGGGAGGGGGGGTGGCGAGGAGGTGTCGGGAGGCGGAGCCGAGGAAAGAGGGGTGAAGAGGTCATTCTGCAGGTGGGGAGGGAGGGGACCACAATGTGGTAAGGGTCCCGAGTGGGCCCATCAGCTCTCGTGCCGCCTCTGTGGGTGCAGGGACAGGGGGCCCTCACCCGTGGGGTGTGGCCCCAGGGCCAGTCGAGTGGAGAGAGGGGGCGGGGCCTGGGGGGGAGTGACCTAGTGACCCGCTGCCCATGGGGACCAGGTGGGTGAGCAGCGGAGGGCAGCTGCGGCACCGAGGGGCAAGGGGCGCCGGCGAGTGGGCGGGAACGCGTGGGTGTCAGCAGTGGGACGGCTGGAGGGTCCCCCATCGATGGAGGCACAGTGGGCGCCTCAGGGGGCCTGGGGCGGGGCTGGGTTCCAGACGCCCACAGCCCCTCCCAAGCACTGCTGGGCCTCCTCTGCATGACGGCCCCCTCCCGCCACCCCCACCCCCAGTCCCCATTGTTTCACCACGGCTGTGTGCCAGGCCGGGTGCTGGGGCCCCACGTGCCCTGCCCCTGACGGCCCCCCTTGCAGGTCTGGGCTTTGGGGTCCAGCATGGCATCTGTGCCCCAGCCCCTGTGGCTGGGAGGGGTCCACAGAGCCCCAGGCTGGGGGTCCAGGGCCGGGTGGGGCCTGCCTGTGCACCCATGTGACCCCCACGCCGTGGAGGCACACTGGGCCCGGATCCTTGTCTGCCGCCCAGGGCTGATGAGGACTGCAGTGGGCGTCGGTGGGCCGCGACCTGCCTAGAGTGGGCGCTGAGGGACACGCAGGGCTGTGCCCCACTGTCCTGGGTGGCCCAGTCCCCCTACACCCCCCAAAGCTCTGTTTACCTCCGTCCCCTCTGGGAGCCAGAGTCCCCAGGCCTTCTCTTGATGGCCTCTCTGACCAGGGCCACCCGGAGGCCTGGGGCACCGCCACACCCGAGGCCCACGAGGGGGCGTCCAGGCCCTGGCCGGGTGTGTCCGAGCCACGGCGCAGGGCCAGCGGGCGCCCGGCACTGCTGTCCTCCGGGGAGAGCTTCCAGTGGGAGCACAGCCCCCCCCCCCGGGCCTCTGGCCGCTGCCTCCCTCGGCGATGTGGACGGCACCCACATCCTGTCTGCCTGCCTGTGGGGACAGCTCAGTGGAAGCACCGCTGTGGCACCATGAGACCTGTCACCCCAGCACCTGGGGAAGGGCTGTTGGCCCGGCGTGGAGCCCCAGCCACGATGTGTGACCCGCGTGATCGCGCCGGACCTCAGTTTCCTGACCTGTGAAGTGGGCGGTCTGAGACTAGACGGAGGGGCTGGCGTGTGTGCCTGGGTCGGGGTGGGTCCTCGGGGGGCGCTGGGGGTGTTCACACCCACCTGCCCCCGGGGGGGGGTCTCCCATGGGACACAGGGGATGGCATACGCTAGGCAATGACCAAGGTCAAGGGGAGCAGAGAAGGACTCCCTGGAGACGTTGAGTTCCCACAGGGACCACCTTCCTCCCAAGGAAAGCACAGGTGGCGGCCTTCTGCAGAGATTCGGGTCTGCCCCGTGGGGGGCAGGGGCGGGGACAGTGGGCTCTGTGGGGACGCACCCCTGGGCCCCGAGGGGGGCGGTCCTGAGGGGGGGCCGGTCCCCTGGGGAAGGACAGGCAGGCAGTCAGGCTTCTGCCCCCCGGGGAACGAGGGGGAGTGGGGGAGGGCAGGCCTGCAAAGGGCCAGGAGGTGATGCCCAGGGCTGAGGGACAGGGACGGGCAAGGACGGAGGTCCCGAGGCCGGGAAGGAGGGGCCAGGGTGAGTGAGGCGTGCCAGCCCAGGGCGAGGTGAGGCCACCTTGGGTCCCGGGGGGCAGGGATTCCGGGTGAGGAGTTACGGGGGATTCCGAGCAGAAGCGGGGCGTGCTCCAGCTGGGTCTAGGGGCGTGCCACCCGGCTGCTGGGGCACACTGGATCCTCGGGCACCGTCGCTCAGCCCCTGTGATGCTCGCTGACGAGGAGCCGTGACGGCCCGTCCGGGGTCCTCCTCGGGCTCCGGGTGCGAAGGCGCCAACCTGGAGCTGAGGGAAGGGACGGCCACCCCGGCAGAGGGGATGTGGGGACAGAGTCGCCAGGATGTGGAGCTGCCTGCAGCCTGCAGCCTGCGCGGGATCTGGCGCTGCCGGAGCGTGACTGGAGCCGGCGCCGGCCCGAGAGCCACGGCAGACAGGCCGGGCCCATGCGCCGCAGGGACGCGTGCCCTCGCCTGGCCGTGGGGCGGCTGCAGGCCCTCCGGACGCCTTCAGCCCGCCAAGGCCCCCCCAGCTGCCTCACACCCGGCTCTGCCCCTCGAGGGGAGTGGGGCGGGCAGACCCCCTGGGCTGGGGCTCCAGGTGGTCACAGGTCATAGAGGGGCAGCAGGAGACAGTCTGGGACTGATGGGGAGAGATGAGGAAAGAGGGGGTAACCAAGAAAGGCTTCCTGGAAGAGGAGGCATTGGCGCTGAGCCTCACAACAAAGGAGGGGGTCTGGGGACTCGGAGCAAAAAGGCAAGGGCCACTCCAGGAGGAGGGGCAGCGTGGATCGTGGCCTGGAGGACGGGTGTGTGTGGCCACATTTGGAGGGACTCAGAAAGGGATGAGAGGCCATTTGTCCCTTTCAGAAGGTGTACCAGGGTCAGGGTGTGGCCCGGCGCTCCTGGCCCAGGCTGGAGGGCGGCCCCTGGTGGCTGCGGCCACCTGCATCTGTACAGTGGGGCTGATGGGAGGGATCGCCCCTCCCGGGCTAAGATGAGGGACGCTCCTGGCACAGGCTGAGTGTCCCTTCCCTACCCTGTCCCTAAAGACCCACCGCCGGTCCCACAGCACCCCCAAAGCTGGCCCGGCGGGTCTCCCCCGGTCCCTGAGGCAGCCACTCCCTGGGGGAGGAGTCAGATGTCTGCTGACCTCCGGAGCCCCGGCTGCTCCCCAGGGCCCAAGCATGCCAGAGACACAGGGCGAGGGCGCCCATGCCCAGTCGGGGACCCGGGGTCACCGTGGTCCCCCTGACTCAGTGCAGGTGAGCCCTGGCTTCCAGGCCAACCCTCTGTGTGTCCCCTAGCAGCAGTCACCGGCCGGTGGCCTCATGAGCCGAGCCAGGGGCTCCGGGGTCAGGGTGGCCCATTTTATAGACAGGAAAGTGGGGCCCGCGGCCAAGGCGGGAGCGCCCCTGCTGCGCCCCTCCCTCCGCTTGTTACATCCACGCTTAAGATCGTCCTCTTTTTCTGGACCAGAATTTATCCTCAGTAAAAAATTTTCTTTGATGTTTCTCGTCCTCACTGCAGGAATTAGGACAGAACCAGGAAAGTATAAAAGAAGAACTTTAGATCCCCCAGAACCCCACCGCCTGGCCACACAGCGCAGCAAACAGTCCCCCCCCCCCCACCCTGTGCCTTCCCGGCCGGCCGCAGGCCCCGCTTCTGGCCGGCTCGGCCCCGCTCTTGCTCCTCGTGCTCATGCCCGCGTGCTGGGTCACCGGGTCACCGGGTCGCCGGGCGTTCTCTCGAGCCCCTCCTCTGCTGGGGGGCCGGTGGGCTGCCGAGGCAGACGGACATCCGGCTGCCCTCAGCAGGGCGACACTGTCCCTTCTCACTTCTGTCCACGCTGCGCCCACCCCACCCCCCACCCAGCCCCCCGCAGACAGGGGTTGGTAGCCCAAGGTGAACCCAGAGCTAGGGAGCCCGCCCCGCCAGGGCTCCCCCCGAGGCTGGGACGTGGGTGCAGGCCTGAGCGGGGACACTCACCGGAGCGCGGCCCCACCCCCCATCTGAGCAGCTGTGTCCTCTTCACCCACAGGCTGCGCAGCCCCTGGGTGCCCTCGTGCCTCGGGCAGCCCCGCGTCCTGCAGGGCCGACTGGCCAGGTCCTCGCCCTCGCTCTGGGACAGGTAACATGCCTGTGTCTCCGCGGCCCCTGGTGCCCCGAGTCCCTCGTCCTCATCAAGTCCCTCAGGCAGACGGGGAGCCCCGAGAGGGAAGGGTGCCCGACACCAGCACGCCCTCCTGCTCCTTTCCGTGCCGCCCTCTCGGGCGTGACACCCTCTGCCCACAGCTCACACCCCCTCCCGCCCCGGGCTCCGTCCTTGGGCTCAGCCCCCCACCCCCCAGGGCCAGGTGGGGCCCTGGTGGAAGCAAGAAGGGACCTCTCCAGGCCCCACCCTGCGCCAGCGACCTCGTCCCTGTTTCGAGGGAGGCAGAAAAGCGCTTCCGGGCTCCCCACGGGCCAGGAGGGGACCAGGGGCACCCGCCCACCCCACCCTGTCAGGTCGGGGCCAGATCCCGCTTCACCTCGCCCGGACTCAGGGGGCCCCGCCAGGCTGTCATCTCAGCAGGGCTCCCCGACTCCCCTGCCTGGGAGGGCGGCCCTGGCCGGGGGGTGTGGCATCGGCCGGACCTCCACACCCTCCCTGTACCTCTGGGGGTCCGCCTGTAGGGGGAGGCCGAGCCTCTGGGCCAGGGCGAGGCAACCCCCCACCTTCCCGGCTTCCGCACGCAGCTGCCTCCGCGACACCGCTCAGTGGTTCCAGTGTCCCAGGGCAGTGCAGGGGCCACCGTGACCGCCCGGCTTCCCAAGGGGGCGCGTCCCCTGGGCGGAGACAGGCTGAGGCCAGGCAGGGCCCAGGTTAGCGCCCCGGAAGGGGAGGGCCGTTCCTGAACCAGACCGAGGGGGGACAGGTCCACGGCTTCAGAGAGGCTGAGCCTGAACCCCAGCCCTTGGTGACGGGGTCTGAGGGGCAGGGAAGAGAGGGGTCACCACAGCCTTCCCTGGTCTGACTGGGGACTGAGGGCGGCCGTGCCCGAGAGTGGCCAGCGTTGGACACACGGAGTGTGCGGTGCTTGTGGGCTGTCTGGGGGGAGAGGCCGGTGGGCGGCCGGGCCTGGGGGAGCAGGGCCCAGGGAGAGGCCCGGACTGGGGATGGAGGCCCGCGGGGGTCCAGGCGGGGCCGGGCATGGGGAGACTTCCCCGAGATGTGTGGGGAGGGCAGGGGTGCTGGCCAGGGCCCTGACGACTGGCCTGGGCAAGGTCGGGGGTCTGCAGACGAGACAGAGTCGGGGTGGCATGAGTGGGAGCCGTGTGGCCGGGGCTCTGGGGGTTTGCTGTGACCGAGGGTCCTGGCTGGCAGGCAGGCGGTGGGGTCAGGAGGGGGCGGAGTCAGGGCCTGGGGGTGCTGCCAGCCCAGGGCTGGCCAGGACACAGCTTGTGGGGGCTGGGTGTCGAGGGCTCAGGGTTGGTGGGACAGAGCCACCCAGCATGGGTGTAAAGCCACCCAAAGGCCAAGGGTGAACGGGGGCTCCGGAGGGTGGGTCCCCGGTGCGTGGGCGGTCTCTGCCCGGGGCCCCAGGGAGGCTCCGGCTCGGCCTGCGCCCCACTCACAGCCCCGCCCTGCTCCCTCCCACACTCGCCCCATTGACAAAGCTGTTCCCTTGTCACCGCGTCTCCCCTGAGACCGCAGGCTTGTGGGGCGGGACTCCTGTTTGTCGTGCTCGCTGCTGTGAGACGCTGGGGACGCGGCAGGGCTGAAGGGTGGGGGGGACAGAGGGCGGCGGTGGGTGGGCCGTAGGCGCTGCGGCGGGGTCACGGGAGCAGTGGGCCGTGCGCGTGACAGCGGGGTCCCCGCTGTGCCTGTGGGTGACGGCCACGGTGGGGGAGGAAGGGCAGCTGGCTCTGAGGGGTGGGGCAGGGGCACTGTGGGGCGCCCCACGGGCACTTGGTCCTCGGGATGGGGTGGGCTGGCGTGAGGGGCGCGGTGGGGCTGGGGTCGCAGGTGTTGGAAGCGTCAGGGTCCGGAGCAGGCGGTGATGGCCCAGGTGTGTGGCCAGAGGGGGAGGACTCGGGGTCACGAGGGGGGGCCACGTGGGTGACTGGACGATGCCCTCGCCTCTTCTGGGGGGCACGGATGCCACCCATGTCTGTGACGAGGGCTGCAGCCCTCAGACCTGGGCATCTCTGGGCAGAATTTTTCTTGGACCAGGGCTTGGTGTCCGTGGGGCAAGGGGGGACAGTCCCTCCTTCCCAGGGGAAGCATGCGGTTCAAAGGCTGGATTGTCCCGTCCCTGTCTCCTGGGCATCCGGGCTTAGCACCCTGGGGTCCCAGAGGAGCCCCCAGTCTGTGGGAAAAACAGAGGCCCAGGAGCGGGGCCTGGGCCCTGGAGGTCTTCCTGGAGGAGGGGGGACGAGCAGGCCTGGGCTTTCCTGAGAGTCCAACGCTGTGCGCAGCTAGCTGGCCACCGCTCTGGGCCCTGGGCATCCCCACCCACCGCCCCCCCTTGGCAGGGCCACACAGCCAATCTGGGGACAGGAGGGCATGGCATTGCCACCTGCGCGACCTAGCGTCCCTACCCAGTGCTGCAGAGGAGCAAAAGTGGGGGCCTGTGTAGGCTGTGTTATCCGGAAGTCGGCCTCATGAGCCCGGGTGCTGACAGGTGCTCTCCTGTTCAGGGTCCCGTAGCCCCCCAAACACTGGCCAGGTTCTGTGGCCAATGAGGGTGACCCTGCAGGGGCTGACTTTGGCTTGGGCGCTGCTGGAGGCCCAGGGACTGACCCCAAGGGTCCCTAAGCCTCAAGGGCCGCCCGCTGGGAAGGGGTTGTGGGGAGCGCGCGCGTGCACGCGCTAACGTATGAGTGCAGCCGGGCGCACGCGGCGGGCACCCACGGTGCGCCCGGCGGGCCCGCACGGGCCTCAGTTTCCCGCGCTCAGCGTCGTGGCCCGGCCCGCCGCCGCGTGTCGTTGCAGCGCGCTGCAGGAGCAGAAGGGCGAGCTGCGCAAGCGGCTGTCCTACACCACGCACAAGCTCGAGAAGCTCGAGACCGAGTTCGACTCCACGCGCCACTACCTGGAGATCGAGCTGCGGCGCGCCCAGGAGGAACTGGAGAAGGTCACGGAGAAGTTGCGCAGGTCAGGGGGCGGGGCTGGGGCGGGGCCGGGGCGGGGCTCGGAGACCCGCGCTGCCTGCGCTCTGCCTCCCACTCGAGCCGGCCCCTCCGTTCGCGGGTGGCGAGTCCTGGGCCCACTGAAGGTAAGCTCTGTTTCCAAAGTCGCACTTTGTGACAAGAGCTACTGACGCAGGGTGCGGACCCGGGTTTGACCACTGCGGGGCTGGGCTACTTCCAGCCACCTCCCTCCCCATCCACAGCCCATTCCTCCTCTCCTAGTACAGCAGGGCGCGGGGGCCACCAGCTCCAGACCCCAGCTGGATCCCCCAGGCCCCAGCCACTGTCCCCTGATGGGAAAATCGAAGTCTAGCCGTGGAGGTGGACCAGCGCTTAGGGACAGTTCCCTTGGGCAGCACGGCAGTGACTGACGTGTGGGGAGGGCTGTGGGACCCCCCGGTTACTACTCCCTGAAAACCCGCCCGCGCACAGGCTCCGCCCACACACTGCAGATGGGCGTGGTTGGGAGCGTGCCACCCTTTAGGGAGGACGCAGAGAGAGCGCCAGCTTCGTCGCTGGCCTGGCTTCTCTTAAATGTTCGCAGGGCACGGTGGCCGGTGCAGCCCGAGACAGGGTTTGCCAGAGAGGCGGCGGCCTGCCCCTCCCTGAAGGGCCTGTCCTGCTGGACTTCCTGAGCGTCTCCACAGAGTCCCCGGGGAGCCGACCTTGACGGTCCTGGTTGCAGTCTCAGCCCTGCCCTTGCCGCTTCTAGCTCCTCTGGCCTCAGCGTCCCTGCTGTTCGTGGGGGAGACTGACATTAGACTCGGGTTGTCCAGAGGACCGCCGCGGTCCCAGGATTCTTCCCCGACACGCTCACTCCACACCGCACTGCACGGCAGCGGCGGAGGCACAGGGCATGGGGCCTGCCCTCCCCCGCCATCACCCTCCCCCCGGGGACCGAGTCTCACCACCACCGTCACTCGGGGCCCGGCACACACTCTCAGGTCTCCTCCCAGCGCACAAGCTAATGCATGTCCACCCGTAGCCGGGCTGGTCAGCGCCGTGCGTGATGTGGGAGCGCGCTGGCCCCGAGTGAGGGCTGGGCAGAGTCACCTGTGGAAGACAGGCCTTCCCTCCTGTCCCCAGGGGTCCTCGGCCCTGGCCCGGGAAAGGCCTCCGGCCAGGTAGCTTTGACGAGGTGTTTGCTGCCAGGAGGAGGAGCAGTCAGACCAGGGAAGGTGTGGTGGGTGGGCCGGGCCTGGCCTCGCTCAGCGGGCCGTGCGCAGCTGAGTGGGGGTCCCGGGAAGGCCGGGCCTGGCCCAGCGGTGGCCCCGTTGCCTCCCGTTCCAGGATCCAGAGCAACTACATGGCGCTGCAGAGGATCAACCAGGAGCTGGAGGACAAGCTGTACCGCATGGTGAGGGCCGCCCCGAAGCCCACGGCCCCGCCCCAACCTCTGTGTCCCCGGACCCCAGCTCTGGTGGGGCCTCGCTGTCCCCCCTTGCCCGGGCAGGAGCTGGGCCACAGGCCTTTGGTCCTGGGGCACACGCCCCTCACCCCACGCCCTTTCCCCACCAAGTGGGGCTCTCAGTAGGTGCGAGTGAGGTACAGGGGTGAGGCCCCGCGAGCCCCAGCTGCAGGGCGCGAGCGCCCGGCCTGGAGGCAGGTAGGCGGGGCTGAGGGGGAGAGGACATGCGCTGGGGACGGTGACGCCAGCGCAGCATCAGCCCGGAGACGTGGGCCGGGAGGGCAAGAGGCCTGAGCTCGGTCCCTGCTCGAGCCGGAGCCGGGTTGGGCCCCAGCCGTGTGGAATGAGCGAGCCGGAGCCAGCACCCAGCCCGGGTGGGGGTGGGGGATGTGCAGCGCCGCCCCTCCTGGAGGAGCTCCCGCGCCAGCCCACCCCTCCGCGGTACCGCCTGTCCTCCGCTCTTCGCCAGCTGGCTAGCCCGTAGCGTGGAGGGGCCACGGGGGGGGGGTGGGGGGGTGGTGGCGGGCCTCCCCGTGTTCTCGGACTTCGGGCACAAGACTTATAAGGCTGGCCGTCTGGGAAGGGCTGGGCGGATGCTGGTGTCTCCCTCTCCCTCGAGGGCAGGAGTTGCCTCTCCTTTGGTTACAAGCTGCTTTTGTTCTTGAAAGTCAAACTAGGTGTGCAGCGCACACCTGCCTCCCAGGTGCTGCCAGCAGCCGCAGCAGGCAGGCCTGGGTGCTGGGCCGGCTCTGCTGGGAGCCTGGACAAGGGCCCTTTCCTTTCTGGGCCTCAGTTTCCCCCTCTGTCCAGTGAGATGGGCCAGGCTTTACGTCGCGCACAAGGCGCCCTCACGCAGCCACACCCCAGACCCCGGAGGCCAGCCCCCGCTCTGTCGTGGCAGACAGAGGGGACACAGAGGCTCGGAGAGGCAGTGACGCACCTGAGGCCGTCTGGCTTGTTGGGGCGGCGCGGGTGTGCACCCCTGCGTCCCGTGGGCCTCCGAACACCTCGTCGTGAGGGGCTGCAGGAGGGCACAGAGGGGCCCCAAGGGGACAACTGGCCTGGAGCCCCAGGCCCGGGCTGACCACCCAGCACCGACCGCCCCCTCCCCCCGCCCCAGGGCCAGCACTACGAGGAGGAGAAGCGCGCGCTGAGCCACGAGATTGTCGCCCTCAACAGCCACCTGCTGGAGGCCAAGGTGACCATCGACAAGCTGTCAGAGGACAACGTGAGTGTCGCGTCCTTCCAGCCCTCCTGCCCCCAGGTGGGAGGGGCTGGCCCAGGGCTGGGGGGCGGGGCAGGCACCGTGGGAGGGCAGGGCTGCCCGGCCGGACACACTGCCAAGGGCGTCCTGGAGGGAAACGGGACCGAGGCTGGGAACACTGGGCCGTGATTTCTCCCTCAAACCGGGGCTTCCCGACCCACCCCAGGAAGGGTGGGGGCGTGGCCACTCCCCGGGGACACCAGAGCCGCGTGGCCGCCCACGGGGGCTGACGCCCAGGGCCGCAGGGGCTGGGCCCAGCCGCCCGCCGTGGATCACTGGCCACTGGCCGCATGTCCACCAGTTAGTGTCTGCCCCTCGCCAGGCCCCGCTGGGCTCTGAGGACGCGGTGTGAACACCACGGGCAAAACCCCGCCCGCGTGGCGCTCCGTCTGAGCGGGGAGGGCGGACGGGGCGGGAGGGCGGCTCACACTGGATGGTGTGTTGGAAGCGCTAAACATTGCCGAGAAAAATCAAGCAGGGGGTGGGGCTGGGGCGCTGCCAGCTGCCGGGCGAGCACGTTTCAACAGGATGCTCCCGGCGGGGCCCGCTGGAGCCTCGGCCTGCAGGGGGTGAGGGAGCTGGCCTGGGCGGGCCCGGTGACTTGGAGAGCGGCAGAGAGGCCGGAGCGGAGGCCAGGGAGTGGGCAGGCCATGCTGCGCGGGCTCCCGCAGGGACCGGGTTTGTCCTGAGCAGCGCAGCGGCCGGCAGGGTCTTGGGCACAGGAGCAGCTGGACGGGACACCCACTTCTACGGGGCCTTACGCGGCAGCCCTGCTTGGAACACACCACAGGACGAGGGCCGGAGTGGGGAGACTGGGGGGCCATGGCAACAGTCTTGGCGGAACCAGTGGAGGCCCGGCCAGGACGGCAGCCGTGGGGGCGGGCGGAAGGGCTTGGGCTGTGGTTCCGGGCTGAAGCTGGGAGGAAGCAACAGGGTCGACAGGTCGTGGACGTGGGCGTGAGGGGGACCGTGGGTCCTGCCACAACCTGGGCGGGGGCGCCAGGGTGGGGCAGGAGGTGTCCTCAGCGGGTACAGTGGCACCCGAGAGGTGTGTGTGTGCAGATGAAAGGGGCCGGCCCAGGACAGGACAGCTCTCAAGTCCCCTGTTGACCCCGTGGCAGGCCCGGGCTGGCCGGGCAGTGCCCACAGACCCCTGATGCCGGGCAGCGTGTCTGGGTCCTCACGGGGTGGGGGATCAGTTCTCCACTCTCAGCCCCCTCTGTCCTCTCCGGGAGGCCCAAGGAGGTCTTGAGGGGCTGGGGACCCAGGTTCCCTCCACCGTGCAGGCCAAGTTGGGGCATCAGCCTCACAAGGTGCAGGTGGGGGGGAGGGGAGTGGGGCGGGGGGCTGGCAGGGGTGGCCCCATCGGCTAGAGCCTGCACAAGCCACACGCAGGCCACCGGTTCCGGTGGTGCTGGGCCCGCTGGTGGACCCCCGCCTCCTGGACGTCCCGCCCTCGCCGAGCAGGGCCCCTGGGTGGGGGCGGGGAGGACAGGCCCGGCCACGGGCACACGCAGCAGAGATTTTCCAGAGAGGAGACCAAGTCCCCCGAGGCCTGCTGTTTGCCTCTGTCTTCAGCTCGGGAGGCCGAGCGGGTGTCCACCTGGACCTGCGGCCCACGGCCCCTGCACCCCACTCACCCAGGCCGCGCTGAGAGCACAGGGGTGGGGTGGGGGTGGGGAGTCGGAGAGGGGGCGGCTGTCCTCGAGACACCAGCCTTCCCATGCGGGGCCCTCCTGCCACCACCGCCCCCACCGGGCAAGAGGCTCCCCTCTGGGACCCCACAGAGCCCCTTCACACCCCAGCAGCTGCCAGTCAGAGCCGAGGCCCCCACTCTGCAGGCGACAGCGTGAGGCCCGGGACAGTCTTCGTCCGGCCGACAGCAGAGCCACCCCACCCGCCCGCCCGGGCTCCGGTCAGGGCGCAGGGACCCTGGGGGGCGGGTGGGGCTCCCGGCCGACGCCTCCTCTTGTCTTTCAGGAGCTCTATAGGAAGGACTGCAATCTAGCGGCCCAGCTGCTGCAGTGCAGCCAGACCTACGGCAGGGGCCACAAGGTGTCCGAGGTAACATGGGCCCCGCCCAGCCAGGCGCCCCTGGGACCTCTCAGGGCTCCTCTGTGCAGGTCCCACCCTGAGGCCCCTCCCCACCCCCGAGGGACAGACACAGGGGAGCCCAAGCCCCTCCTGCTCCTACAGGCTCCTAACCTTCCTGAGACGTGGGGGCAGGCCACGCCCACACACAGCCCCTCACCCCACCCACACAGCCTGCGAACCCCCTCGGTGTCCTCTGGGGGCTGCTCCCTGTCCCGGCTCCAAGCCCTCCGCCCGCTGAGCGACCCTCTGTGGGCCTCACAGAGACCCCGCCGCCTGGTGAGGGCGCAAGGACTGGCAGCGCCGGCTTCGGGGACGGGAGAACTGGCCGCACACGGAAGTGACTCGGCCCAGGCCACGGCCCTCCCTGGTGCCAAAGCCAGGCTGACCCAGGGCCCCCACCCCCCCTCACGCGCCCCTCACCCAGGCCTCTGTCCCTGTCCCCTTGCCCTGGGCCACACCGAGACACTCACAAAATAGATCATACAGTAGCAGGACGTCCCCACACGGCGCCAGGCCCTGGGTCTTTGTTGCATGTGTTTCTGAGTCTTTCTCGTGCAGAAGCCCCCGGGGCACCTCGGGGAAGCAAGTCAGCCCCTCGGAGGGTGCGGGCGGAAGGGGAGGCGGGCACTGCAACCCGGAGCGGGGCTGAGCCAGACCGGGGGTCCTCAGGGGAATCGGGGAGCGTCCTGGGCCCACGCTGCAGGCGGTGGTCCCTCCGCCCGCCTGCGGGTGAGCCGGGGGCTGACCAGACCCCGCCCCCCGCGCCCCGCCCCCACCTCTCGCCGCCGCTGCAGCTGCCCTCGGACTTCCAGGAGCGCGTGAGCCTGCACCTGGAGCAGCACGGCTGCAGCCTGCCCTCGCCGCTCTGCCGCCCGGCCTACGCCGACAGCGTGCCCGCCTGCGTCATCGCCAAGGTGCTGGAGAAGCCGGATCCCGCCAGCCTGTCCTCCCGCCTGTCGGACGCCTCCGCCCGCGACCTGGCCTTCCGCGACCGGGCGGAGCAGCAGAGCCTCAGGCCCCCCTACAAGGCGGACGCCTACTGCAGCGACACCGCCCTCTACTGCCCCGAGGAGCCGCCGCGCGACCGGCGGCCCAGCGCGGACGCCTCCGTGACCGACGTGGGCTTCCTGCGGGCCCAGAACTCCACCGACAGCGCCGCCGAGGAGGAGGAGGAGGCCGAGGCGGCGGCTTTCCCGGCGGCCTTCGGGCGCGAGGGCTTCCCGAGCTACGCGGGCTCGCTGCCCACGTCCAGCTCCTACTCGAGCTTCAGCGCCACGTCGGAGGAGAAGGAGCAGGGCCAGGCCGGCGCGCTGGCCGCCTCCCAGCAGGCGCTCTACCTGAACAGCCGCGAGCCGCGGCTGCCGCGCCCGCCGCCCGCCGCCGCCGCCGCCTACCCGGGCAGCCTGCGCTTCTCTAAGGCCGCGGCCGCGGCGGCGGCCCCGCTGGAGGCCGAGGTGGCCCCGGGGTTCGCGCGGACCTTGTCCCCCTACTCGGCCGAGCCCTACCGCTACCCGGCCTCCCCGGGCCCCCAGCAGGCCCTGGTGCCCCCAAACCTGTGGAGCCTGCGGGCCAAGCCAGGGTCGGCCCGGCTGCCCAGGGAGGACGCGCGGGGCCAGTGGCGGCCCCTGAGCGTGGAGGACATCGGCGCCTACTCCTTCCCGGTGGCCGCCCGGCGGGCCTCCCCCGGCAGCTTTCCCGAACGCTACTACGGCGGGGGCGGCCCGGGCCAGAAGGCCGAGGGCCGGGCCAGCCCTCTCTACGCCAGCTACAAGGCCGACAGCTTCTCGGAGGGCGACGACCTCTCCCAGGGCCCCCTGGCCGAGCCCTGCTTCCTGCGGGCTGGTGGCCCCGCCAGCCCGAGGCCCAGCTACTCGGCCAGCGAGGGCGACGGGGAGAGGCTCGGGGGGCACCTGTGCGGGGTGGCCGACAGCCCCGAGCCCGAGCACAGCCTGCACAGCTCCAGGGACTCCCTGGAGCCCAGCTCTATGGAGGCGTCCCCCGAGATGCGCCCCGCCGCCCGCCTGAGCCCCCAGCCGGCCTTCCCGCGGACCGGGGGCTCGGGGCTGAGCCGCAAGGACAGCCTCACGAAGGCCCAGCTCTACGGGACCTTGCTCAACTGAGCGCCTCCCTGCGGGCCCAGGCCGCGGGGCGCCGGGCCACCCGCCCCGCACCCCGGGGGGCCTGCCCACCTGTCCCCAGACGCCCACCTGTCTCCTGGGCCCTGCCGCAAGAGCCCCTCCCTCCCACCTAACCCCGTGCAGCCCGACAAGAGGACCCCCGCCACCCGTGTGCCCCCCCACCCCACGACGGAGCTCGCCGAGAATGTTCCTCACACGCCGACATCTCTCCCCACCCGAGATGAGCGTTCCCCCCCTTTTATAAAGCGAAACTATTTTTCTAGAGAAAAAGGGTCTTTCTTAACGCACTTGGCCTCCAGCTCCCTGGACGGCAGCCTTGGCGTTTCCAACACAAAGCTCCTTTCTTTCCCGGGTGAGAGCCAGCGGGGCCTGGCCCCTGGAGGGGAGGAGGGCGCCTCGCGGAGACGCCCAGCGCGCCGGTGACAAGGGGACCCCGGAGCTCTCTGCACAAGGAGGGGGACTGGACGGGTGCAGGGACGTGAGACGTTCTCGGCTGTTTCCGCGTGGCCGGCGCAGCGCCCCCAGCTCTCCCGCGGTCCGTCGTCCCGCGTGGGGCCGGTGCTCGCCCCCCCGCCCCCGCCCCCCAGCCCCCCTCGCTCTACCTCAGACGCAATGAGGCCCTCCGACTCGCGTTCCCGTGGCTTGCTCTCCCGTCGTCCGCGATGCATGCCGTCTGTCAGTACTGTATTTTACATTCGCTAATAAAAGACATCGGTGGGAAGCCCGGGTCGGAGTGGTTTCTTCTCCCCGCCGCCTTCCAACCCCGGGGACCTGTGGCCCCAGGGGTCCCCCCCTCACCCGCGTGCCCTGGCTCTCGACAGCTGTTGCCCAGGGTCAGAGCCCCCCCACTAAGCTGCCGGGCGTCGTCGCTGCCCCCCGTCCCGTGTCCCCTGCCGGCCGGGCACCCCCGTCCTGCCCTGCGTCTCAGACGTCGCTGGTGCCCGGGTTCCTGGGCATTCCCTCACTGTGCCTCCGCTGGCGACCCCCGGTTTCTGTTTCTCCGAAGACGCCTGTCCGGCCCGTGTCTGGGGAGAACACACCTGGGTGCCGCCTGCGCCGGCCTTCCCGGTGGGGGGTCCCCCTGCCCGCCCCCCGGGAGCTGTTCCTCCCCCAGCCACCTGACCAGTTCTCTCCTGCCACCGAGGACCTCCCCTTTGGCTCGGGCTTCCTGCCGTTTCCCTGAGGTGTGTCCGGCGGTGGATTCGCCCTCCTTAGGAGTTCCCAGGGCGTCCTGTGTCTGTGGGTCGGTGCACTTCATCGGTTCTGGAGGAGGCCCCGCTATTATTGTGGCGAAACCTCTGCCCACCCTCTCCCGTCCCTCCTCCTCGCCGTGCCCTCTGCCTGGCGCCCTCCCCGGACGGCCGCGCGCTCAGTCCACCCGCTCTGCGTGTCCCCTGCAGGCGGGCCCGCCCGGCTGCCCGCCGCAGCCGCTAAGGGTTCGGTTTCAGTTACAAACGCTTCCCATTTCTGCAAGTCCTGCCTGGTTGTTCTGCAAATCCGCTCCCCAAGAGTTTCCCGCTCCCTGGAGCTACGTCCACGCCTGTCTTCATCTCCTCGGACACAGTGGGCACAGCGGCTGGCCCCCCCCACCCCGGGCTGGGCACTCCCGCTAGGTGCACTCCTCTGGGCTCCCGCCGCGCCGCCTCCTCTCTCCGTGCGCCCAGTCACCTGTGGCACCCTGAGGGGGCACCGGTGGCCCTGCCCACGGGCGACTACCTCAGCCCAGCGCGTGCCCTGAAGTTCCCTCACCCACCCAGCTTCACGTCTCCCGGGTCTGCCTCTCGCCAGGAAACCCCAAGTTGGGGTCGGGGGCGGGGGTCCTTGGCTGTGGTTCCCGGCCCTGGGCTGCCTCTGCAGAGGCGGCCAGAGCTGTCCCGGCTGCCCGCCCCTGGGGGTAGATCTGCCGGGGAAGCAGCCCACCCCCCTCGCCCCAGGGCCAGAAGGGCCGTGCGGAGGCTCAGGGGCCCCCTCCCCTCCCAGGACCACTTCCCCGCGGGCAGATGGATGAAGTGACCCTCGCTGTCTAGGGGGCAACTGGGAGGGTGGAGGGAACGCCCTGCCCTGGCCCCCAGTGGCTGCTCTCTCGGAGGCCTCCCTGCCCCCCGCCCTCATGCTAGCCATGCGACAAGGCAGCAGGGCCAAGACCACAAGGGCTGGGCAGCCCCGGCCGGGAGGCCCCTTCAGATCTAGGTCCCGGCCCCACATTGTCACCGCGGAGCCCGAGACGCCCCCAGATGGACTGCAGACCCCACAGACTGTCCTGCCGGGGCCTCCAAAGCCAGCGCAGGTGGTGTGGGATGCCCGCTCCGCCCACCCCCACTCCCTCCACACGGAGCCCCGGGCCCCTGGGGGGGCCCCCGCCCACCCTCCCACCCACGCACACGCTCCTTCCCACCCCGGTAGGCGTGCAGAGTGGGCTCCGCCACCAGCGGCGTGACCCTGGGCCGGCTCCCCCTCTGGCGCCCGAGGACAGGGACCCCCAGGAAGCTGGCAGCTCCATGCAGAGCTCCAGGCTGGGCCGCAGGGGCCCCGAGGGAGGGCGAGGGCACGAGCTCCTGAGTCACATTGCCCTGGGCTCCTCCCTCTGCCTTCGGGGCGCCGGTTTCCTGAGCCGGACAGCGGGGGCCATGCCCACCTCACCGGGGCCGCAGGGGCTCCACACACTGTGGCCAGGGCCGGGCCGGGCCGGGCGGCACCCACGGCCACGCCGGCGTCTCCAGGCGAGGGGTCCTTCCCCCACGACAGACCCCGACCGGAAGCCCAGGTGGACGGGCGCAGGCGCAGCTCACACTTCTTCTTCTCCCTCCCCACTCCACACTTCCCAGATGTAGCCTTCTCACTGTAAAACTGCAAGTGGTGGACTCCCCACCTCCTGGTGAGGGTCGGAGGGAACTTCTGAGAACACTCTTGGGAAGGGACGGCGACCGAGGTGGACAGTGCACTGCCCGTTGTCCCCAATGAAGTCACTTCCCCAGGGGGGCTGGCAGGCAGCGGGCACCTCCAGGGCATGGAGCTGCTGAACCCCACGGAGAAGTGGTGCTGACAGCCCCCGTGGCTTCTGGGGACCCCCAGGAACCTCCCCACCCGAGGGCCAAGGGGACCGGCACGGAAGAGCAGGTGCCCGCTGCTCCTGCGGCTCCCCCGCCCACCCACGGGCCTCTTCTCGCGTCCTCTGCTGGGGGTGCCCCCTCGCCAGCTCGTAGTCTGCCTCCTCCAGGAAGCCTTCCAAGACTGCTGGGACCCCCCTGTCCCGAGCCACGGCTCCTGTGGTCCCCGGGCCCGTGAGCGAGTGCCTGGGCTCTCGGGCAGCCCCTCGGTCACAGCCCTGGATGAGAGCTCAGCCTGCCACAGCCCAGCCGCTGGGTCTCCCCGGCCGACTCCTTGAGGTTCCTCGGAGTCGCCCCAGCGCTCGGGCAGACACGGTCGTGAGGGCGGCGTGCACGCCTGACGGGGCAGGGCGGAGCCGACCCCGCTGGCTGCACCTGTGTGGAGGGGCCGAGGTGGCCGTGACACTGGAGGGCCTGCCGCACTCTGGCACAGGGTTCCTGAGGGCAGCCCCGAGCCCCGGAGCCCCCTACTCTCCTGGGGACCCCTCTTCCCAGGCGCGGCGGGAGGAATGGCCAACACAGTCAGCACTTTCCAAAGACCACCTGAGTGACAGCGCAGCTCCCACTTTACTGTAGTCACGAGTGGGGCGCCCGCGCCCTCGCTGACGCAGCCCTCACAGCCCCGACACCAGGGTCTCTCATCCCCATCCCACAGACGGGGAGACTGAGGGGCGCGGCGGGGCAGGCGGCTTCCAGCCAGGCCTGACAGGGAGCCCCCACCCCCGAAGGGGGGCAGCCGGGCAGGCGGGCGGCAGAGGTCCAGAAGGCTCCGCCCCGGAGGCTCAGTGCCAGATCTTAACGTCGCCCTCCCAGGAGCAGGTGGCGAGGACGGAGGGCAGCACGGGGTGGAAGGTGGCGCCCACGCAGGCCTGCGTGTGCCCGTGCAGCGTGCGCGCGCGGCTGGCCGTGCGGAAGCAGTACAGCAGGACCCGGCCGTCGGCGCTGCCCGTCACCAGCAGGTCGCCGTCCGGGGAGCACTCGCAGCCCACCGAGTAGCCCTCCACCTGCAGAGGGTGACACGGGTGAGCGGGCCGCGCTGCGGCCCTGCACGCAGCCTCACGCAGCGCGGGGGGGTGGGGCGGGGGGCGGGGCTGGGGGCGTGGCGTCCAGTCCGCCGCAGAGGGGCAGGCCGAGGCGGGCCGCGCCCCCAGGCTGCTTTGGCGGAGTCTACCTCCAGCACGGCTGACGTGGTGTCCCGCCCGCCGACGGCCACCGAGCCCCAGGCCCCCACCCCCGTTCTACCCTGCCCCTCCCCCAGGACACATCTACGTGAGCCAGCGAGTCAGGGGAACCCTCTCCTGCCCAGCAGCTGGGGCCTGGGGCAGGGCCGTGGCCCGGGAAAGCAGCGAACAGAGTGTGCTGTGCAGAGGGTCCATGCACTCCGGGGCCCCGCGCCCACCGCTGGCGCAGTGTGTGTTGGGGGGTCTCTGGGACCGTGCTTGGTGCTCCCCGGACGATCGGACGGGGGTGGGGGAGGGGGTGGTACCTTGTGCCCTTCGTAGCGCCGCCTCCTGCTCATCCGGTAGGGCCACACCGCGGAGAAGAGGGCGAGGTAGTTGCCGTTGGTCTGCGCCAGGAACACCGGCTCCCGCGGGTGCAAGGCCAGGCTGGGGCAGGTGTACCTCTCCTGAGAGACGCCGGGGCCACAGGTGGGGTGAGGGACGCCCCGGGTGGGCCGGCCACCCCTGCAACCACGCCCCCCGCCCTGCACTCCGCTCAGGGGCCTCGGGCCCTCCTCCCAGGCCTCAGCTTCCTGATCTCTGAGTTTCCTGCGGCTGCTGCAGCCAACCGCCACAGAGACTCAAGCTCTGATACTCGGGCTGCGGGTCCGAAGTCAGACCCGGCTCTCTCACTGGGCCACCAAAGTGCCTGCAGAGCTGTGCTCCGTGGGGGGGGGGGGGGCTCCACGTGGAAATGCACAGCTCACACTTGCAGCTGCTGGGGGCCCCACACTCCTAGGCTCAGGGCCCCGTGGTGGGCTGAGGAGGGACCTCCCAGACAGATCACGTTTTAATTCCTGGGGCCTGTAGACGCCTCCTCGTACGCCTTTGAAGATGTCATTAAGGATCCTGGCGGTGGGGGGGGGGGGGGGCCCGTGGGTGCCCTTACAAGAGGAGGCACCGGGAGAGGAGACACATGGGGCGGTGGGAGCAGCAGCAGAGCCACTGGGAGACCCTGGCGTGCAGGTGGCAGGGCACGCAGCCACAGCCCGGCCCCGCCAGTGCCACCGGACCCCGGAAGCAGTCAGGGACGGGTTCTGCCCGGCATCTCTGGACGGGCAGGCCTCCCGACACTGGACTGCAACCCAGGGACACTGACCTGCGTGCCACCCTCCAGAACTGTGTGGGGGTGCCTTTCGGTGGCTCACGCCCCAGGTTTGCAGTGACGCGCCGTTACCCGGGACTGGGACAGACACCTGCGTGCCCGTCTCCCCGTGCCCTGGGGGCCGCGGAGCCCGGGGCCCCGAACAGCCAAAACGCACCACGGGGGAGGCGGTGCGTGACCAGGCGAGAAGACGGGTGGGAGGGGGAGCGGTGCTCGGGACCCGGGCGGGCCAACCCCCCGGCCTGGTGGGCTCAGGCGCACAGAGTGCCCTGGAGACCTCCCGCAGGGAGTGACCCGGGACCCTGGGCCTCCGGGGCTGAAGCTGAGAGTGACTTCGAGTGGGGTTTCTCACATGGAAAATCTGGTTGGAGATCTTGGCAGAGCTCCGGAAGTCCCAGGCGATGATGGTGCGGTCGGCCGAGTCCCGGCTCGAGGCGTCCGTGCTGCTCAGAAACTCGGAGCCTTCCTGGAGGAAGAGGATGTCCAGGGTCTGCTGGACGGTCGCCTTGTAGCTCCTCACCACCTGCGGGAGTGGGCGGCGGTCAGGCTGGGGCCCCGGGAGCCGGGTCAGACCCCCGCAGGGAGGCAGGGGCAGGGGGCAAGCAGGGGCAGCGGGCAGGGCGGGCGAGGTGTCCCTGGCCAAGCAGCCTGAGCCGTGGCGGTGGGGCTGCTGACCGAGCCCTCAGGCCCCACCGGGCAAATGTCCATCTCCCCAGGGTCCAGCCCTGGACTACCTCCCTCGGCCTTGCCTGGTGGCACCTCCTCACGGAGAGCCCCACGGCCACCCCGACCCCCGCTGGTGCTGGGGGCAGGGGCGCCTGGAGACCACGAAGCCAGCGCCACAGCGTGCGGGGGAGCCTTGAGGCCGCCTCCGGTTTCTGAGCGCCGCCGCCAAGGTTCCGAAGCCCCCTCCCGCCTCGTAAACTACCGCGGCCGCGTGGCCGGCAGCTGCTCCGCGCTCTTCAGAGTGTTTTATCACATTTGCCTGCCGTCCTAGGACAGCCGGTTCGGCTGCCGCAGGAGCGGGGCGGGGCAGGCGGGGTCCCAGGACCAGGACTGAGTCAGGGCACGGTGCCTGGGGCCGCCTGCTGCCCGTGCCGCCCGTTCCCCGGCCCCAGGGTGCCACCACGCGGCTACAGCGCGAACCGGCTGAGTCACCCTGGCCCGGGGCTGAGCCCTCTTGACAAGTTTTTTAAAAGCTGGAGTTCACACAGCCTTTTGAGTGTTGCAGAGTTTTATTTCCTATCATCCTCTTTCAAATGCACGCATGTCAAATTCCCATGCAGTGCGGCACCCCACAAAGCCAACGCAGGGGCGTGTCTGGAGACCGATCCTGCAGATGAACAACACTGGGGCTCAGTGATCCGCAGGGGTCGCCAAGGTCACAGGGCCGCCAGGGGTGGTGGAGCTCCTCCAGGGCCCGGCCGCAGCCCGGGGCCCACAGCCCAGTCGCCTGCCCACCAGCTCCTGCCTCATTAACCGCAGGGACAAATTCTTGGGGCGGGTGGGCCCCACGTGACTGCTCTTCTCTGAGCCTCTGCGGAGGCGGCCCCCGAGGAGGGCAACTTGTGGGTGAGCCCCTGAGGCCCGAGGGTGGTCTGGGGCAGAAGAGACAGGGTGGCCCTGCAGGCCTCTGCACACAGGACGAGCTGCTGGCCGGCCCACCCCGCCCCGCCCCGCCCCCCACGCACGGGGCTCTCACCCTCACCCAACGGGGACAGAAGGACAGCCCTGGACCGGCCAGGCGGGCAGAGCGGCCGCAGTGCGCCGAGAGGCTCCGGCCCTCCCCGTCTGCAGCTGGGGCGGCAGCCCAGGGCGGCATCTACCCTGATAAGCTCACACCGCCTCCCAGCCCACAGGGGCAGCCCCATCCCAAGGTGAGGTTTAAAACCCACTTTGGGGGGAAGAAGGGGGGAGGGGAGGGGCGACGTGGAGGGCCCATCATCTTGGCTCTGGAGTAACCTCTTTCCCAGGTCCAGACCCATCTGCTCCTCCTACCCCCCCACCATTGCCGTCTCCACCCTCCCCCGTCCCACCCCCCCACCAGCAGCTCTGTGCCCCCAATCCCCTGGGCCTCGAGGGACCGGGACGCTGCCCACCCCCCCGACCTTTGGCCGCAGCCCTCTCCATCACCGAGGTTCGGGCTAGGAGCCGGGGAGGAAGGACTGCAGCACAGCACAGCCAGGAAAGGGTTCAGTCTGGCCCAGCTCGGGCCCCTGGACGTGGCCCAGTGGCGGGGACGCACGGCGGCCCCCGGAGCTTCACCAGCCCCCAGGGAAAGGCCGTCCGTCCGTGGGCGCCCACCCGCACGTGCCCGCACGGCGGCCGGCCCCGGGGGCAGGTTTGGGCCTCAGTCCCTCTGGGCCCCGCCAGTCCCCGGCACCCAGCCCCGCAGGCAAGGGTGGGGGACACTGCTCTGGACACCCGTAGGACCCTGTGCTCCCTCAGCCGACTGCCCAGGCCTACCCCCAGGGCTTGAGGTCCCTTCCCAGGGGACCTCGGCCAGCACTGAGGCAGCGCACGGTACTGACCTCAAGGCTGGACAAGTGGATGCGTGGGCAAACGGATGAGTGGACAAACCACGTGAAAACAGTGACCTCAAGGTCCCTGGATGCCGGCAACGTGCTGGCACTTGGGGCTGCGGCAACACCCACGGCGCTGCTGCCACCAGCTCCAGCAGGCGCCGGGGAGGTGACATTCCCTCCCAGGGCGCTCCTGTGGCCTGGGACCTGGAGGCAGAGCAGACCTGGCCCCCCACGGAGCTCTGAGACCGCAGTGGGTGGGGGGAGGAGCGGAGCAACGGTGCCCGACGCCATCAGCACCGCCCTCCGGCCCTGGGCCAGCAACCTGCCTCCGCGGGCGGCGGCCACCGCACCTGACGGTGGGGACAGCAGCAGGACCGCTGGCTGGGGAGGACACGGAGGCGGTGTGCCCGGCTCGGCGGCCACTGCTCAGCGAACCTCCTCCTCCCTGCCAGCGGGAGCTGCGGGCCCCAGGAAGGAGCGGGAGTCCCCGGCCAAACCCCTCCTCCCAGTCCACAGCCCCTTTGCCGGACAATGACCGACCTGACCTGACGAGTGCACTGGTCCCGGGCAGGGGCCGAGGCGTGAGGGCAGCAGGGGGCCGGGCGAGGGCCCCGTCCTGCGGTTCGAATCCCCACCGGAAAGGCGGCCAGTCGAGTCCGTAAATTCAGAAAGGGTCAGGAATGTCCATTTAAAAAAGAAGCTACAAAAATAGGAGAAGGAGCCCTGGCTGGCGTAGCTCAGTGGATTGAGCACAGGCTGCAAACCAAAGTGTCGCAGGTTCGATTCCCAGTCAGGGCACATGCCTGGGTTGCAGGCCACGGCCCCCAGCAACCGCACACTGATGTTTCTCTCTCTCTCTCTTTTTCCCTCCCTTCCCTCTCTAAAAATAAGTAAATAAAAGTCTTAAAAAAAGAAATGATGATGAAAATATATAACATTAAAAAAAAACACGAGAAGGAAACACGATCGAACTTCCCTACAACCTGGGAGTGGGATGAACTTTCCTGGCTGTGGCCCCAAGGCCAGGAGACAAACGGTGGGTGACTGACCACGTGAAAGTGACGGTGATGATGATGATGATGATGATAATAATAATAATAATAATAATAATAATAATGAAACACTGCTTCGGGCATGACACCAAGTAAATAAATAAGCAAAGCAAAAAGACAGCTGGGAACACGTGTGTGCGCCTGACGTGGGAGGCGAAGACCGCGCTCCCTGACCCACGGAGCTTCTGAGCGCGGAGGAGCGCGGGGGAGGGCGGAGAGGCGCGGAGGGGCGCGGAGGGGCGCGGAGGGGCGCGGAGGGGCGCGGGGGAGCGCGCCCCGCGGCTGCAAGGAAGCCCGCGAGACCGGTGAGCGGAAAGGTCAAGGTCGCACGAAAGGAACTGCACCCGGGCCTCCGACCCTGCTCAGGAGACACGGCCACTTAAATGACACGAAGTCACCCCTTACCCATCGAGTCAGCAAAAGCCACGAGCTGGGCGACACCCCTCGTCGGGCGGCTGCGGGGTTCCCGCGGCAGAAGCGCGAAAGGCAGGCGCCCGTGCAGACGACGGGGCGACCTGGACCCGGCACCCCCCGCCTGCTGCCCGGCTGGGTGCACAGCCGCAGCCCCACCGAAGGGACCGGCCCCAGGGCGACACCGGCAGAACCCTCAGAGAGACGTGCCCCCGGCCGCCGACAGCAGCACTGCTGGCAAGGGCCAGAAGAACCGAAATCGATGCCAAGAAAGGGCCGGCGAAGCGAGCTTCCGCACACCCCGCCCCAGGCCGCGCTGCGGCTGAGGAACACCAGGCCGGCCTCCCTGCCAGGCTGGCGGGGGGGCCTCCGCCCGCTGCTCAGGGGCAACAGCCAGGAGGGAGGGGAAAGGTGGAAAGTAGGTAAAGAGACCCTATGACTGTTGTTCTGGTTTGAATGCCTGTCTCTGTTTGCTCACACTGAAAACCAGGAGGAAGAGACACCAGCACCTCCGTCAGGAGAGAAACGAGTCTGACCCTGGAGGGGGGCAGGAGCAGAGTGGGGGGGGCAGGGTTGGGGGCAGAGTGTGCGAGGTGTCTGGACAGGGCCAAACGGCCCCCGTACGGTCGCCGCCGCATGTGTGACGGCCACCGAAAACTGCGAACCAGACTGGACCCAGGAGCGGCGGTTTCCCAGCCCCTTCCAGAGGACAATGGACATGTTTTATAACATTATACAACAAAATTAACCTAAAATGCAGTCTCTACGGCGTGAAAGGAAAATTAAGCAAATGAACCGAAGCGCGTATTGAGCGAGTAACTTAGCCACATAAGTAGGGTTTATTCTGAGAGGCGTTAAAGCACAGTAATTTAATGGCGTGTCCTGAGCTGAACATACATTATGAACAGTAATTTGATGGTGAATGCTAATTAGACACACACTGTGGACGAACACGACTGCGAAAAATCTTAAACTGTTTTCAGCCGTTAAATTGCTAGCGTCACTATACGGCAAAAAAAAATTGTGTTAAGGCAGATAGAAATAAAAATTTTCGGTATAAAAGAAATAAAAAATAAATACAGGAGAGAAGCCGAAGGAAAGTTCTGTAATCCTAAATTTGAATCGGAAAAACCAGTATTACTGAACGATGCCCGTTTTTCCCCAACCACAGAACCACGCCCCAGCTGCGTCCCCAGGAGGAGCCTGGAACAGCCGGGGGAGGGGGGCCGCAGCGCGCTGATTCTGGCCCCCGACCCAGCTCTGCCCACTGGCCACACCGGACGGGCCAGGGCACTACCGCGGGCGCTGTCACTACAGAGAAGGTGGCTTAGGAACGGGGAGGAGGTGGGCCAAGGTCAGGGCAGGTGTAGGGAAACCCAGCGAACTTCTGGACATGGAATGTGCCGTGTTGGGGAGACAGAGGCGTGGGGCGGGGCCGGCGGCGGAGGAGACGCCGTGAAAGGAAGCATCAGGGAACCAGAAGGACGCAGCAGCGGAAATGACTGGAAACAGAGAGGGAGAAAGGTGGAACTTTT